ATACAGTGAAACTTGGTTAAGTGGGACCTGGATAAGTGAGAAACCTCCATAACTGGAACTCATGCTGAGGTCCCAACACTTTGGCACTGAATTACCTCTGTTAGTGGGACGAGGTAAACCTCTATATCTGGGATTTGTTCTTTCGATTTATCATCATAGTTACCTCTATAACTGAGACAGCGAGTAAATTTTATATGCATAAACCTCTGTAACTGAGATAACATTGTTTGTTTACTCATTCTTATTCTACCCACAAATTCCACACGTAATTCCAAGTCCACCTCTATTAATCCAACCCTATGTAAATAAGATATATTTATTTATTTATACCTGTATATTTGAGACACTGGGTAAGTGGAATACGTCTTTAAGTGAAACAACATTGCAGGTCCCTTGATGTCTCACTTAACCAGGTTTCACTGTATTTCGCGACGAAGGAATTTTGAACAACATTTTGATTCCTAAGTAAACTAAGGGACATTTCAGTAAATCAACATCAATACTCTTTTCTAAATATCTACAAGTCAATTATACAAACAATATATATTGTGTTGTGTTTCAGATTCTACCTCAGTCGGCGGCGCCGTTGGTGGAGAACATGTTCATGTACGTGGCGGAGAGGAACACTGCGCGAGTGCAGGGATACGCACTCATATACAATGGACAGGTAAATACTGCAACCGTTTAATGTAAATTATAGCTTGTAAAATGTTAAATAGGCCTAGTAGAAAGTTTATATGTCGTGTTAGGAGTAATAATAACGTTAACAGTGATTTTTATTTTGATTTTTTTCAATTTATCAACTCAAGTTCGCAGTTGAGTTGAAAAATTGAAGAAGTTACAAGCTTGATTAGCTGATTGGATATCGCTGTCCAAACAGCTAATCAAGCGTGAATTACAACAAACTTCCATCTCCAAAAGCCTTTCTTCAACACTTGGACGTCTTTCGTCTGATGATAATGTTAAACTTTGAATATTTTTATCACCAGACTGTAGAAGCACTCCGTACGTGGTTAGTACAACTGGGCGGCTCAGCGGACGCGGGGCACCGTATAGTGGCGGTGGCGGGCAAGGCGGCCGGGGAGCGGGTTCACTCCCCGGGCCGGGTACTGGCCGACCGCTCCGTGCTCTACAAGTACGTTAACCCCAACCTCGTGCTCTTCCTCACCGAGGGACCAGACCCACTGCACAAAGGTATTATTTATAGTACTATGTAGATATACTAATATTATTTTGTTACTATATTGGTAAACAGAAATGAAAATGAATAGTGTGTGAGGAACATTACAAATGAAAAAAGGTCCCTGACGACTGTATCAGACTACTCAGAATCCGAATTAAACAATAAGATGATACCAAGCCGAAAAAACTAAGAATGAAAGTATTATTATGTCAAAGTTTCGTTGCTTCAGTGATTGCTAACGTGATTTTATGTCATGAAATGCAAGTACATCAGGATATTAATAATTATATTTTTCGGCGTACTCAAGTAGCTGTTTGACGAGGAACTCGACTAGCTTCATGCCATGCTAGAGGCTCATATTCATTACCAGCATTCCGCGACCAGCGACGCGGCGATTGTCGCGCTGCTATTGAGTGAAACTAGTCTAGTTCCTCGTCAAATAATTACGTGAGTAAGCCGAAAAACAAAAATTTAAGCGTAAAATGGTACAATATGAAACTATCTAAGTTTAAGCGAAAATTTGTAACTCCCCAGATGTAGTAGTGGCGACGTGCGTGGACGCGGCGTCCGGCGCCATCGTGGCGGCGCAGGCACACCGGCGCGCGCGCGCCCTGCCGCACGCCCTGCATACCGAGCACTACCTCGCATACCTGTACTACAACGACAAGCAACGGAGGAATGAGATCGGTCATTATTTACTATATCGCCACAACATTTACTCTCCTTTTCAACTTTCCCTGTATATCCACGAACATTTAAGACTAGTGCAAACCAAAAATAGTTGTTAATAGAGTAAAAATAAAATTGGTTTTTGCCAATTATTAAACTATTTCTAACTATTCTTATCAGTTCAGCCGTTCTCGAGTCTTAGCGAGACTAATGAACGGGTATTCATTTTTATTCTATAAATATTTGATAGATTATTCTATTTGAAGATGTTTTAAAACGCATTGTTTTATTAATTATTTCATGTATTTAATGTGTTTTAATTTTTGACTAGGGAATCGGTAACCTAACTGCTATTCCGTGACAATTCTGTAGGGGTCTCCCAGTCTACAGCAAACCTCTTCCAAGAATTTTTAATTCTGATTTTTTAAATAGGATAAATTGGTTTACAGTTTACATATATTTAAAGTATTAACAATTGATCATGATGTATGCAGCGACCCTGGAGCTGTACGAGGGCAAGCAGCGCTGGTCGGGCGCGGGCGCGGCCTTCACGTCGCTGTGGGCGGAGCGCGCGCCCGGCGTGGAGCGCCTCGCCTACATCCTGCCCGCCGCGCCCGCCGCCGCCGCCGCCACCGCCACCGAGCGCTCGCTCACCGACAAACACGTGCTGCGTCAGTCTCACCTCTACTGCACTCTAGTGCTGGCTCTCACCATATCGATCTATATCGACGCCAACTACTAGACATTAAAATACCACAAAACCATTTATTTAAAACAAATATTATTATCCATTACTGGGTTTCTAAAAATCTCAGTTGGTAATAGGCTCACGCCCTATTAAATGGGTCTCATAACATAAATAGTGAAAAGTGGCATTAAGTGCCGTAATGTACACCTGTGCCTACCCCTTAAGGGATAAAAAAACGTGATGTTATGTATGTTACTTATCTTTTGGGTAACTCATAAGATAAATTGAGAATTTAAGATCTATAATTGAGTTACAAAATCACAATTTAATTTCAAACATCAAAATTGACGTTTATACTGTATATTTTCAGTGGCGTTAACCTCGGGCGCAATAATCGAAGTACCGTGGGCGTACTTAGAGGGAAGACGCGGAGGCGGCGAGGAGGGCGCCATGTTACCGGCGCCGGCGCCCGAGATCATGTTGGCGCCCGAAGCTCGACTCAACTACAACCGGACGTTGGCGCGGCCGAGACAACTCTACACGGCGCCCGCCGGACTTGAATCTACTAGTCTTGTGCTGGCCACTGGACTCGGTATGTGTTATTCAAACTTAATGTATGTTGCTATCTTACAAAATATTTGATAAAAATAAATAACTGTATGCCCTTCTTTGAACAACATTTGATTCATGACTTCATGTTGATTGTTCACATAATTGACATTCATATTGTAGGAGTTACTGAACTCTATAGCACATAGTTAAAATACGACAAATTCAATGTAAAAACGACACCACCCGGATTGATACAAAATACTAATCGCATCATGAAATAATTTATTTATTTCAAATTGGATAACCAACAGCTATGCCACAATGAATAACAATTACGCGTATGCTACCTCTATACAAAGCCAATTATAGGGGTAGTAATAAAAGCTCCAAATAATAATAAAAATCCCAAAATATTAAATCTACTGCCTAAAATACTAACTTTCCGACTAATTTTCTCCAAATAAAATCGACAAAACGACCGCATGAGATGCTGAAATCTACGATAAATAAACATGACGGTTTATTGTGTGCGTTACCCAGGCCAGATGTTGTCGAAAATGGTCATTTGAATCTTATAGATAATTAGTTGTTGCTCATATTTTTAAATTTGTTGCGCTTATAGTTTTTTAATTATTTCACAAAAACGTGTCCTGCTGGGGTAACGTTACCCCAGCCAGACCTTTTTCTTTTTAATGGGAACGTTTAAATAATTACTAGCTATAAAATTAGTTGTCTAGATGAAATTAATGTTTTGCCTTGTTTTGTATTTGTTCTTTCATCGGTTGCGAAGTTATTCGAGATTTTGCTGGGGTAACGTTTTTGATTTTGCTAGATCTTTGAAACGGTTAAGCAGATCCTTATCATATTTTGTACACGGCTTTATTAGGAATTAGTTTAAATTTTTTGTGCAATAAAAAATCAAAACAATACATAGCTTAAAAGTTATTTCATTAAATAGAAAATCACTTCAATTGGTCTCAGCACTCTCAATAAGAGCTCTAACGACTTAGTTTAAACGTTATTTAAAACTTATAAGTGCCTTCAAATGCATGTGAAATTTCATTAGTATCCTGTAAGTATTTAACAAGTTATGATGATATTGAGTTCTTCACGAGCACGGTCTTGATGCGCGCGGCGTTATTTGGCCACTGGATTGGATATATGAACTGAATGTTATGTCAATAATTAGTTATTAGTTCAGTTGTGTAAAAGTAAATTATTTCATTATTACATAGTTTTTTTTAAAACTTGTGTACATGTCTGTACTAAATTTGTAATACTATCCTACATATTTTAGAAGGTACCAAAATGTTCTGCGTTTTCGCTTTTTCGTAACCACCTAAACTTGGTCGGGTTACCGCGGTCATTCACTTCCTAATGACTTTAATCGTATTATCTCATTAATTATCCAATGTATTGAGCTGAAAGGGCATTTACTAAAATTGGTGCCTTTCTTTTTTCTGGCGTCAGGCATTTATGGAAAATATTAGATATATCTAGAATAACATTACAAACGAAATTGGCAATGGCTCATATATGGAAATCTCAGTCTGGACTGAGTTATGCGCGTTGAAAGGAGCTAGAGTCAAACATTTTACTTTGGTTTTTTTATTCAAATTATATTTCAAATTGCGCGCCACTGTACGCCGGGCACAGGAACACCATATCACACCACAATATATCCATATTGCCAGGCACTAATTTTTATTACCTATTTTCTCTCAGTCGATAACTTGTGGGATGCTTCTAGGAGTTGTGTCATGAAGCTTCATGAGCGTCAGCTGTGGTACCAGTGGTGGGTTGAGTAGTGGTAGCCGTCCAAACATCTAATGAAGTATTTTTTTTTTTGCTGTTGGCTCCTGGTAGGAGATTCATCTACTTTATATTTAGCATAATCTTTTGAAGAAAGCAAACCGTCGACTTTGTAAAGTGATAGACGTCAGATGAACGCATAATTTTTTCATATAACATGATCAGTCGAAATATAATCCATCGCTTTATGACTGAATGGCGATATCTTTGTACAGAATCTTATGCTAGCTGTAGATTAAAGTATTAACTGTAGTTAGATCAGTTACTAATCGGAAGTAAGGCGGGAGAAGTAGATAGAAAAATGATTTTTCATGTTTTGACGACTGCCGTTACTCAATCCGCTACCGACGCCGCAGCTGACAAACAGCATTTCATGATAGGGCTCAGTAAAGTATTTTGCGGGTTTTCGACTGAGAGGAAATTGATCATGAAAGCCTGTCATAGGCCATAAACCGTATACGTATAAAGTGAGCACGCTAGCCAATCAAGCGAAATGTTTTTTACTTCAGCAGTTGCCAGTTAATGATTCACTCTGTTCTGATTCCGTGGCATTACAAAAAAATAAACAAAAAAAAAAGTAAAATAGTCCTCAATAAGCTTTATTAAATTCCTTGAAATCGTTTATAAACATTCATTTCAAAATATTTCTGACAAGTAAATGAAGAAATATGCGTTGTGTACGGTCGCCATCAACAAAATGACAGAAATAATACAGCACTATTTTCACATCTTTGAACTGATTTAACTCGGTTTGGACTGTGTTTTTGATATAAGACACCATATATTTTTTTGTTTGTAATTCTCCATCAGTTTTTCCATATCCGATCAACTGGCGCGAAAAAATGAAAAAGCACCACGCTCCATACAAATTTGGTCATTGTCATTTTACTGATATATATAACATTCAGTTCATATATCCAATCCAGTGGCTAAATAACACCGCGCGCATCATGACCGTGCTCGTGAAGAACTCAATATCATCATAACTTGTTAAATACTTACAGGATACTAATGAAACTTCACATACATTTGAAGGCACTTATAAGTTTTAAATAACGTTTAAACTAAGTCTTTAGAGCTCTTATTGAGAGTGCTGGGACCAATTGAAGTGATTTTCTATTTAATGAAAAAACTTTTAAGCTATGTATTATTTTGATTTTTTTATTGCACAACAAATTTAAACTAATTCCTAAGAAGCCGTGTACAAAATATAATAAGGATCCGCTTAACCATTTCAAAGATCTAGCAAAATCAAAAACGTTACCCCAGCAAAATCTCGAATAACTTCGCAACCGATGAAAGAAAAAATACAAAACAAGGCACAACATTTACTTCATCTAGACAACTAATTTTATAGTTAGTAATTATTGAAATATTCCCATTAGAAAGAAATAGGTCCGGGTGGGGTAACGTTACCCCAGCAGGAAATGTTTTTGTGAAATAATTAAACAACTATAAGCACAACAAATTTAAAAATGTGCGCAACAATTACAGAAGCCGCACAACTACTTATCTATAAGATTCAAATAACCATTTTCGACAACATCTGGCCTGGGTAACGCACACCTGTTTATTGCTATAATACTAACCTAACCTAAAACGTCTGGGATGCGGTGCCAGAAGACCTCCCCGTGGTGCACCCTGGGTGCGGGCGACCAAAGAGCCATCAGACCACCACAGATGGGGCCCAATAGGGCCGATGCCGATTCGGAGTCGCGGAGAACCTAACGGGTAACCGGGGCTCCGGCTCGACGTGCAGGAGAAGGAACGGGGTGGTTTTTAGTCAGTAAGAGTCTGACACTCCCTCCCGCCTCACCCAGGCGGGGGCAGTCATTCGATGATTTTCCCCCCTTAAAAAAAAAAAAAAAAAAAAAAAACCTAAAACGTCTGTTGTCGGTAACTTAGTAATTTTGTCGGAGGTTCAGTATTCTATTCGAAGGTTTAGTTTTGTTATTCGAAGATCCACTTTTACAGTCGGCCACAGATTGCTGGAGATTAATTTGTTTTTCGGAACCATTATTATTTACCCAATTATAGGCGTTTAGGTCATCCAAGAGTTCTATGAGTTTGTATTTATAAAGTCAATTTTATTCGTTCACAGATCTATTCTACACGCGAGTAGCACCATCAAAGACGTTCGATCTCCTGAAGGATGACTTCGACTACTACCTGATCACCATAGTCCTGGCGGCGCTCATTGTCGCCACATACAGCACCAAATACTTCGCCTCGCGGAAAATGCTCAAGCTAGCATGGAAGTGATGCAAATATAGTCTCTAGGGTACTGTAATAAGGAATTTGGACTGTGCCCCCACGGAAATAAAGTTCAGATCTATAAAACAGGTACGCTTCGAAAAGTATTTGCCTACCGCCTAAATAAGGCAAGTAATTAGTTTATGATACTGATTCGCAAGTTAGCATTAAAGTAGAAGGTAATTTAAAGTGTTCTAGAATGAAGTAATGCTAAATATCAAAGATTGATACAAGTAATATAATGAATAACTAACAATAAGATGTTAAAATTATTATTATAATACAATATGTATTGTCAAATTCTAGATAGTGTTACTTGCTTTTCTATCTCTGCGATTTTGTACATTAGAGTTCATAATTCATATCAACTTGAATGCTACTGTCTCGAAAATTGTGCCATTGTAATTTTCAATTCCATTTTCACCTATTTTCATGGCACTGATAACTTTTGTAAAATTGTAACCCACTGCCATGTTTTCCGACGCAGTCCAAATTCCTATATTTTAATGGACTTTAACAAATAAACAATATAATACTTTCGTGATCGTGCATAGTAAGTGTTTACATTTAGTAAATGGATACACCGTCACATACTTTAAAGCTTAGGCTCCGTTGTACAAAGTATAATGAAATATGTAGACAATGAACCTTTACTTAGGATACGGGATGGAATACGGCCTTTACAAGACTCCGAGTATACTCCTAGCAAGAGTAATTTCACATGGCTACACAAGACCAGTGTAAGCTGACCATTGAATGTACGGAAAGGTCATATAAAGTGACACCATGATAATTTGGTTTGTTTGTATAGTTCGTTGCGCGGCCGTGTGTATTAACATCGTCAACGCTAGTAAAGTATCAGCATAGCGACTTTTGTATGAAACAATAAAATTATAAGGAAACTGTAAATATTGTTACACTTTTACAACGGTGCGTACAAGCAGCATATCTAAAGAGAATTCTGATGTTTTTGAATCGATTCAGTGATCAAAGTTGTTCAAATAAATACCGGTCTATATAGTTTAAGTTGACCCCTCTATTTCATATACGAAGCTTCGAATTTTATGTCTAATGGTTATAAGATTAATCTCCTAAGCTACGATAAAGGATCATGTTAAACTGTATAGACTTTCTATTGTAAAATTAGCTAGTGCAATTTAGATGTATTATTTATTTATTAAGGGTGGTTTGTATTATACGATTCATTTTAATTATATTTAAACCATTCCACGATTTGTCACCTATAATATATCAATTTTAACGTCATTCTATTGTAAATTAAAGATATAATTATTTTTTCCTATTTAAATCTATTCTAAAGTCGACTTAAGGTGACTGAGATGAGTGTAATCTTATTAAACATAGCATTTAATATAATTATGTATCTTATTCAATATGTCCGAGCATTTGTTCCTACAGATTATTTAGTTCTTATTTATTGAGACAGAGGAAAACCGCGCAAGAAATAGTTACTGTTTGTGTTTGATGCAATTTCCACAGATTGTATAATAGTACATTGTATAATCTCAGTTAATTTTAAGTTCCATTCATACTTTAAAAGTAGAAAGTATTAGCTCACGTCACATTACATACTTTCGGCTACTCGGTCGAGTAGAACTACTTAATTATGTACTTCAATGCATAATTTTAAAAGCAGTTTATTGCTTACTGTTTTATATATTTGTCTCTGGTAGTCATATTTATCGAGACAACGAGCAGTTTCTAGATGTTAGAGTTATAATACAGATATTATATTTTATCTGTTCTCAGTTTAGAACTGTGTTGTTCTAACCACAATAAACAAAATGTAAAAAATATTCCTACACGTAATTCCTGACCTATCTAATAGAAGAATGTTTCTTAGATACTTGTTTCATAGATTGTTGCTTATATTATTTCGTGAATTCTATCCGTACTCTTAGTTATTCCTCTAATTTCTCGACCGCGCTTTCAATTTTAACAATATTTTATTTTAAAATAACTATATGTGTTAATGTAAGCGAGGATTTTTTGTTTAAAAGTATTTGCTCACGCAGAGTTGTTAATTAGCAGTTAAGGGTAAAGTTTACCGTGTCTTATTTGTTTATTATGATGTTTCTTTGTTATACATTTTGTTGCAATGGTGGCTTCATAGTTCAGAGATAGAACATTGCAACCACACTCATAGCTAGCACTCATGCGAGCGACATAATTCTATGACTTGTAAAGACATGTGGACACATTTATAATACAACAGTTTTTTATGACAAGAAAGTGTAAATAAATACCAACTTATATCTAAAAAAAAAATTGAAATTAAAGTCTTCTTGTTTCTCACACAAATATATAAGGTTTTCTGTATCTCTTGTGTACTAAGTTATTAATAAAATATTACTTATTATAAAATAACAGTTCAGTTATTCAAATGTACCTTATTAATTCCTTTAGTTTATCGGAATGTTACCATTTCATTGTTTAATTTTAGCAGTTTGGATAGTAATATTTATAAACAGTGTGATGTGATTTATGTTATTGTACTACTCACTACCTAAGCTGCTTTTGAAAATCGATATGAATCTTGGCTGGCATAGGAAAGTTTAGTAAATATCTGTTGAATTTGATGTCGAAGTAATGCATTTACATTTCATGTAAAACTTGTATGGGGTAACGCATTGACGGTTCTGGGTTGTGGTATCTATTGTATCAATAGTAAATATGATTTTGAATACTTATGTCTCAGCAATAGGTCACTTCATAATCAATACAGACAAAATAAACTATTTTGTAGATAGGTCACATTATGTTCAACATAACAAAACTCTTTGTGATGTGTTCTTGACCAGGACACTTTCAACATATACTTTTTCAAAGAATCGTGAGTGGTATGAAGTCTCTGATTACAGTGGCTTCGAATAGACTGAGATAAAGATGTGAGAGTGGTTGCAATACATAAGTAAATATTATATAATATACTGTAATAAAAAATGGGTATTTGTTTTCTGTGACCAATGTGTTTTGTAAAAAATAAAGTTGAAGTAATTACTGCCAGTTTGTGTTTCATTTTTTCCAACTTCACATTTTAAACGTAAGCAAATAACTTCAATGAAGTACAATGTGTTAAGTAGGTAGGTAGTGTTATAAAACTATAAAACATGACTCCTTTCGCCTTTGTTGAGATAAGATGGATTTTTAGACTAACAATTACCCCATTCCGACTTGCTCCAAGCCGGGCCGCAGTGGGGTAAATGTCTAAATATTTCTAAAAATCAAAGTTCATTGATAACAATGACCTCAGACAAATTAAAGCGTCACAGCGCAAAAGGTTGGGGCTCAGCCGGCTCGGCTCGGATTACCTCAATGATGTACGACACATCAAGATTTTTTTTTACCCCGACCGACCTTGTCAGTAATTTTAAAAATGAGCCCACTTGTTCTAATGTCATTCAAATTCCAAGCCTATTCATCACATCTATCTCAATAAGGAAATGTTTCTTTATATTTGGTACGAAAATTCAGTAATTTTTTGCTAGGACTTGTAGTTTTTGAGATACTGAAGGATTTTCAAACGGCCTAGCTCTAAAGCCTCAATCATAGCGCTACTCGTACCTCGACAAGATTTGTCGAACTATCAAACTTGTTTTCAGATGTGATCTTCGATAAGGTCATTTTTTAAAACGTTGCCCCACATTAGGATTTTCTCGTGTCGTGGGTGCGTTTACAAACATACAAGTTCACATACACAATGACACCCAGACCCGAAACAACAATTTGTGCATCACACAAAGTGTTGTTTCGTGCGGGAATCGAACCCGCGACACGTTGCACGGCAGCCAATTGCCCAGCCACCGCACCAATCGCGCATTCCCACACGTGTGCGTTACCCAGGTCAGATGTTGTCGAAAATGGTAATTTGAATCTTATAGATAAATTAGTTGTGCGGCTTCTGTAGGTGTTGCGCACATTTTTAAATTTGTTGTGCTTATAGTTTTTTAATTGTGTCACAAAAACATTTCCTGCTGGGGTAACATTACCCCACCTAGACCTTTTTCTTTCTAATGGGAATATTTAAATAATTACTAACTGTAAAATTAGTTGTCTAGATGAAGTAAATGTGCTTTATTTTGTATTTGTTCTTTAATCGGTTGCGAAGTTATTCAATATTCTACTGGGGTAACGTTTTTGGTTTTGTTGGACTTTTGAAATAGTTAAGCGGATTCTTATTATATTTTGTACATGGCTTCTTAGGAATTAGTTTAAGGCTTTGACTGCCGACAGAAAACTGTTGAAGGTAAATCCTCCGCTAGCGTGGCCCATACGTTGTCCCCCATGGCGTTCAAGGTATTAAATTTCTTTTGCAATAAAAAAACCAAAATAATACATAGCTTAAAAGTTTTTTCATTAAATAGAAAATCACTTCAATTGGTCCCAGCACTTCTCAATAAGAGCTCTAAAGACTTACTTTAAACGTTATTTTAAAGCTTGTAAGTGCCTTCAAATGTATGTGAAGTTGTATTTGTATCCTGTAAGTATTTAACAAGTTATGATGATATTGAGGTCTTCACGAGCACGGTCTTGATGCGCGCGGTGTTATTTGGCCACTGGATTGGATATATGAACTGAATGTTATGTCAATAATGAGTTGTTTAGTTCAGTAGGTCTGGCTGGGGTAACGTTACCCCAGCAGGAAATGTTTTTGTGAAATAATTAAAAAACTATAAGCGCAACTAATTTAAAAATGTCCGCGAAAATTACAGAAGCCGCAAAATTAAATATCAATAAGAATTAAGTGACCATTTTCGACATCTGGCCTGGGTCACGCACTATTATTCATCTATGGTCACGCACACCTTGTTCTAATGTCATTCCTCTATCACTCAATAAGGAAATTTTTCTTTATATTTATAGGGAGTACGAAAATTTGGTAAATTTTTTGCAAGGACTAGATTCGTGTCGTACTATCAAACTTGTTTTCAGATGTGACCTTCGATATCATAATATTCTGTAAATGAGCCTAATTCTCACTATCACTACTATTTAACACTATCATCAATCAGAATATTACGTCTTTATAGGGGCGTATGTCTACATAGGGGGGTACGAAAATTTGATTAAATTTTGTCTAGTTTAGGAAATATTACAAGATTTCTATATTTCAAGAGATTCAGTTTAAGTTGCCTTGGAAAATTATGAGTATTCATCATATTGATCAGTGTGCCGTACTGGGGTCGCAGGCAAAGGCCTATTTACTAAATAAATATATTAGGTAATCTTCATGATTAGTAGGTCCCATCCGATTTTTGTTTTATCGAGAACAAAATAAAACTCAGACATAAGATACTATTACAAAATGATTTATTCTTTATTACAAATTACGATTCCTTTCTTTCAAAAATTAACTTAATATTACTTTGATAATCCTTATCCGTAGCGATGTAAGGGGAGCCTACTATGTTGAATAAATGCACGTACTCCCGCGTGGGCGGTTCTAGCAGTTGGGTGTTGTTGCACAGATTTCTCAGATGGTACCAGGTTGCGCCGTGGTTGTAATCCAGCAGTCTTTTAAAAAACTCCACCGCTAATGCCTGGAAAATAATTAAAGTTAGAATTTCACTAAATATAGTCACGTCATAAATCAGAATAGTTGATTTTCACGCTTAGCTAGCAGTCGGTTTTACGACCTCAATGTGTTCTAGGGTGTAGAAGATATGAAAAAAAAAATAACAATATTATATTCCATCATCGTGCTCACCTGTAACGCCTTAGGTTGTTTTTTAGATAAGTACGGCTGCACACACGTCATGGCATTCTCCAAGGATTCGTCTTCCAGCATAAGATCAGTCGTAAGGTGTGGTAGCGCGCCTAACGCAGTGAGTTGTAGACTGTACGCCTGACTGTTGCGGTAGGCAGAACCAATGTCTTTTAGGTAACTTTCCTTTGATGATTTATCCAAAAAACTGTATATGTGCGGTAGGACGTCCCTAGAACAAAATAACCATCTTTAGTAACTACAAAATTTAGAGTTCTAATGATGTGACGTAATATTGATGTTTTGTATTTATACCATTGTACGATAGCACTGACATACGCTGTGTCATATAAATGTTTATAAATGACAAAGAAATAAAAAAATACAAAATCTATTGAGGACATAAAACTGGAAAATGTTTCATTTTCGTTTAAATACAATAGGAACTATAGAATCTCACCTGATAGCTCGGCCCCTAATAAAATCACGGGCTAACGCAGCCATAGTAACAAGCAAATCAAATGCCCTCTTCATGATCGCAGGTTCTTTATCAAACCTGGAGACTAACGGACCCCAGGATTTATGCACCAGAGGTAGGAGCTCGTCATCATACTTCCCCAGTATTGGTAAACCACGAGTTAGGACTTGTAATGCCAGTATTGAGTTGTCACGCTGGGATGACGTCACGTAGTTGAGGCAACGCTTGAGTATTGTCACTGTTACTATTATGTGTTGTGGTAGAGGGGGCTTCTCTCCTGTAAACAAAAATTGGGATTTAGTGGTACGTCATAAATTTTGCATACGTATATAGAACAAGTTAGAAGGTGTCGGCTCTTACCAGTAACAGTATCATCATAATCCAACATCTCTTCTTCTCTTCGCCTTATATCTTCTCTATACATCTCCTCCGCACTCCTACCAGGTCTATTCTCAAACTCCTGGTCATTCAGGAGCTGTTGTTCGATCTCTCTATTTTCTATAAAGACTAATAGATCATTCAAAATGTCTATTTCTCTGTTCTGCTCAGCTGGCTTGGGCTCGACGTCGGGTATCTCATACCACTTGCGAATACATTCCACGAATGTTAGAAAAACTTGTAAGTACGCTTGAAGATCGTTTTCGTAATATTTATCACAACTTTGGACAAGGACCTGTATGGACAATTTTTTTATATTGAAACGTTTTTCCTCTTCAATTGAGATTATTTGATTTTTTACAATAGAAATACTCACATCTTCAACAATACCATAGAGATAGTTCAGTATACTGGAGTCACTGTATTCCATTACAACTGACAGTATTTGTAAAGCTGATTGACAGTTCCAAGCCTGGAAAGAATTCTTATATCACTCACAAAAACAATAACAGAATATTTTGAGATTTGATAAAAAATTAAACTTTATGATTTCATCAAATTTTGGTATATAGAAAACTGACTTTCGCCATATGGCGAAAGTCAGTTTTAAACTATTTATTAAAGTATGCCGACAAAAAGCAATTAAGGGAAA